AACTAGCATAACGGCAACTCCACCCATTTTGGCCCATGACGCCCGGGGCGAACCCTGGGGCCGCAGGTACCTGTTAGGAATAATTCTACCAAGTTACAGCTTGTTCGGAGCACTATAGCTCCTCCCGTAGTCTTCCGATCAAAGTGCAATCAAGTGGCCATCGATCGTCATTGCGTAACAAACAATCCTAACATTTTCCGAAATTCTTCCGAGAACATTTCCGACGGAAGGTAGGGTAATAGTGTCCCAAAGGTAGGGTAAGTATTTCCATGGTGACACGAAACCGGTCTTCATGGTAGGGTAACGTGACCTCCTTAGGCAGGGTAAACTCACCCGGCCTTCTGACCTATCCATAGGCTAGAACGGACATTGTCACATTATTACTTCTACTTAGGTACACCTATTCCTTAAGTACCTTCTGTTCTTAGAGATTTCCGAACCATCAGATATCTCTTGGATATGCGCCTGCATACCCGCCTCGTCTACCATCTGACCTCTTAGTCTTATGTATGGGCGTAGACGTAGGTTACCATAGCTCTATATCGTAGGGTCGTTACAACATTACACCAACCAGCCGAGGGTATCGAACCCCAACACCAGTCAAGGTAGAACCTATGGACGAAGACTGGGTAAATCTGGTGGATTTACCCCTATCAAAAACCACGACACCCGAAAGAGAACACGCGAACCTGTCATGGACAGGATGCTACAACGACGAGTGCCATGTGCACAGAAGCGAGAAGGAGGGCTCGGGATATTGGCCTCGGGAAGCGAACAGATGGCCACCCAAGACTTCACCCCTAGGATCACCCACAAGATCCCCAACACCAGAACCAGTGGCTCTGGTACAATAAATCAAACCGACTCCGAGGACGGAGTCGAAGAGGAGGGGGGCGAAAAAACAAAAGTGGGCAAAGCCCAGGAGGACGAGGCACGTCTCCTGGGAAGAAGAGATGGAAAAACTAGAGACGACAGTAATGAAATTGTTGGCGGAAGCGGAGGAGACGAAGAAATTGTTGGAATGGCAAGCGGAAAAAATAGGACAACTCCAGAGCGAGTTAAGGGAGGAAACGAGGATAATGAAGACACTCCAAAACGACTGGAGGAGGGAAGAGAAGGAGGCGGAAAGGGCTCTGACGAGAGTACGGAAAGTGAGCACTTGGCTGAACAAGGAAGCCAAGTGGGGACTCCCGGCAAGGGCATGGGGAGGATTGGAGGATAGACTGTTGTAAGCCCGATGGGACTCGGGCTGAGGGAGAGGGGAGCTAATGTCATAAACTGTGACTAAGCAAGGCAGATTTTACATAGCTTGGATTTCCAAGCTATAGGTATGTGGAGATTTCACATGACGCACACTAGTGCACTATAGGTCATTATGTTTACCTGTTGGTGACTCACACTTGTGAGTCACACGATGTTATGATTTTCGTACATGACTCAAGTTATGAGTCATGGGTTTCACTCAGGTGACACGAGTTGCGCACCTGAAAATAGTTATTAAGGTTTTGATTAGGTTCAGGCATGTTGCGCAGCGACTCATAAGAGTCGGCTGATGGATTTCGTGTGACTCATAGTTATGAGTCACAAGGGTCAAGTGACACATAAGTATAAGTCACGCCAGGTGAAGAGCTACTATATAAAGGGTGACTAGGACCCCTAGTATTCGCTCTTCACACGTTCTTCTTGTTTATTTCCTACCTTTAAGTTATTATCAATACAAACCTACTTTTACGCTCTTTAAGATTTATTCTTAAGAAACCCGAGAATTGTCTCTCCTCTCAAGCGGGAAAACTATTTCTCGTCCCACGTCGAACGACTAAGTCCTAATCGAGGACTACGAAGATTAAAGAGATAGGCGCGAATAAGATAGTAGTCATAGGACTGGACTATCGAGATCGCGAAGGCATAGGCCTGGGAACTATCTACTTACATCAAGAGAAGTATCGTTACCCGTCGCTCGGTCCTACTCGGTAGGATTCTTAACATACCTAATCACAAATATGGAATATACTGGATACAATCAGATATAGCACCCAAGTACACATAGCTTAAAGGCTGGTATGTCTAATATAGAACTATTTTTTGCTGATGTAGAAAGTATTATTATTGTTAATAAAAACAAAATCTCAAGCTATTAAGAATAGAGATTTATTATAGCACTTTGAAAGTATTCTGTACTCTTTATAGATAGTATCAAGTATAGACTTAGAGTAAGTATAGTACAATTGAACTTATCTTTTAATCATAATATTGTTTGTATAGTAAATATTATAATATTAGTTTGATTTATTGAATTTGACTATATAGAGATTGAGTAGAAACTTATATTATATAAAGTATAATAATAGTTTGATACTAATAGGTAACTTACTATCTTCTTATTTTTGGAATATAGACTATAGAAATTTTTTAATTAGTAGATTCAAATAATATATACTATAAATAAATACCTACTACTAGTAGCAAGTAGCATGTTCTAATTTGTAGAGTCTATATTTATAAGTACTAGTAAATAGTCAAATCTAGTAACTTTCAATAATAATCAATCCATTGATATACTACTAAAACTTTCTAGAGTATAAGGTCAACAAGTCTAAGGAACCGTTTCAGCTAGAGTATAGCATGATTGGTTGAAATTATTGCAATGAACTAGATATCCTGTGAGGTATTCCTCTCATACTTGTAGTTAAGAGTGACTTATACTATTGTCTGGTAGTCAATCTGGTGAGCTATGCAGTACCTGCTTTGTTCTTGCAAGAAGATTGTAGTAATTACTGTAATCTTAGATATTAGAACATTATCTGAAAGCCCGCGCTTGGCCTTAGTCCATCATTAGTTTATTTGTTATACATATGAAGGCTCGTCCTGGGATTTGTTTTCTTTTCATCTCTTACCAACTCAATTTTTAGTTTTCGAGTTCTTTCAATTTCACTTCTACTATCTGCTATTACCATTGCAGCAAAATCCGCAATCACCAAGACCTTTGGGGCCGGGATAGTACTAGAGTACGCGTAAGATGAGCCACCCTGCGCACCTCACCTCTGATTTTCTGCTCTCACTCGAGTATTATTGATTTACACAACAAAGCAGCCTAGCGCGACTCTTGGTGGGAATAGGCTTTTATCATTGAAGGCCCCCACGATATTGGTATCATACCATGCTTCTCGGCTATGGTTCCGCGCGATACTCTCGCACCCATCGCCTCCCGGTTTACGATATGATGCGAAAATCCGGGTTCAGCAGGAGTCGGGCAGCCACCATGTCTATTGTCGGAATTTACTACCCGCAGTCGTGCAGCGCCGGAAGAGGGTGAGATTCGCGGGTGCGGGGGTGTGGCAAGACAGTGAAAATGGCATAGGAGAAGGAGGAATGGGGGTTCGCGGGTGGCGATAGGCAATACCGGTAGGACATATTTACAGCATAGTGCAAGTGGGGGTCCCAAAAAGTGAGTGGGCAGATTGAGATCTGCTCGTACATGGAAAAGGGGCTACTCCACAGGCTTACTCCCGTATCAATACTTGCATTCAGAATGAGATTCCTTCGTGGAGGATTCGGGGGAGCGGAAAACTGCTTCGACTTCGATTGTAGCTTTAAGTGAATCCAAATTCTCTCGAGAGCAGCGGCTATGGGGAAACAACCTTTTTCCAAACCTGTATCATGATGGTTGTTTTTGGTATGAGAGATGCATCTTGGTGGGATTCGGGGGCGCCACAGCACACCACCCTAATGGAGCTAGGAATTGGGCGGGAATTGGCATACAGTACTGTACATAAAATGATGTCATTACCGGTTTCAGATATGTTGTGTTTCTGTGAATTTTCTCTGGTGAAGTATCTGCTGCTAAATCGGCTATTTTTGCTATAAAATAGCACGTGCACACTCACTTTTTGAACTCCACCTGCAATCTCTGGCGCCCGTGCTAGATAGAGCACTGGTACGAGTATTGTACTCGAGTATTCGCACCAGTCTGGATACCCCTGCCCCAGGGAAATAGCGCAGTGGTGAAAGGGAGAAGGAGAGAGCGAGGGAAGGAGAGAGGAAGACGGCCCCCAGGCCTTGAAGAGCACGCTCTCTCCCAAGCAAGGTAGTCTACTCGTATATCCACGCTGGACCAACAAATAGGGTAAGCGTACAGTAATCACTCAAGGACGCAATCCAGCGCCACAACGTGCCCGACCCACCAAAGCCCATTGGCTGAGAAGCAACAATGCGTTCTCACCCTCCGCCCCCGATAATAACGGGCATGACGAACACTTTCTTTTTCCAAGTGGGGAGCGAGTCCCCATCATCTGTCTTACTTTTACGAGTACTGTACCCTACAGCCATCCAACTTGAGCTATTTGTACCGCTCCCGGCCAGAGAGAGTGGAGGTAACACTGCGGATTGAACGAGAGAAGCATCGAGGGAAAAGGTTCCCACTCTTCCAAAAACAAAAGAAAAAAGGGAAGAAACAGGGAAAAAAGAAATTGCTGAAATTTTTTTCCCCACTCCGAACGCCGCTGTGCTGAGAGCTCGTGGGGAATTGAGAGCGTCCAAGTGGTGGAAGCAGCCAGATGAGGCGGAGGAGAGAGCAATGATAGCCGGCAATTCCTTGCCGAGTGCATTAGTATTAAATCCGCCTTCCTCCCAAGAAATGTCCAAGACCTTGGTGAAAAAAAATAAAGACAGGTGCGCTACAAACCGGTACAGGTACTTGCCCTCCACCATCCTGCCTCATCACCGCCGCCACGAAACCCCAACGCTCTTCCCTTGGTACTTGGCAAAGGCTTGATTCTGCCCTTTTGTCCAACCGGCTGGTTCCCATACCGCTGCTGTAGTGGGCCGTTCATTCGTGTAGCTCAAGTCTTTTTCTTTTTTTTCTTTCCCCCCGAGCCTTGGATGAGATTGTGGTGATCATCTCACGATTACCGGTACAGTGTGGTGCTTGTACGAGTACGACTGGGCTGAAACAATCCTTATTCCGGGAGACAGGGCCACTAGTACGGTGATTAGAGCACGAGAAGGGAGAAGAGAGAAACCATGGCAATGAACAAGACTTCCGGTGGAAACTCGGCTTTTCACAACTTTAACAACCAGTTTGCTCATGTTTCGGTTCGTCTTTAATATTCACTCATCAATTCCCCCAGATGGAGGAGGATGGCGCAGGGCGTTCACCAGAATCGCTTCCGTGGCTCGTTTTGCTTTCTGCTACTCCGGTATGGTGCGGTGCTGACAATGGCCAACCACTCAGGACCCGAACGAGCGTCGTCGCCTCGCCCTCGCAGAAATCGACAAGGCGCCATTCGGCTGGTACCATGTGCGGGCCGTCGTGGTTGCGGGCGTTGGCTTCTTCACCGATGCCTACGATGTGAGTGCTGCTGCTCTTCCAATCCCACCCCCACACAGCGACCCGGCTGATCCCTGCTGACCTGCGCCATCCAGATCTTTGCCATCAACATGGTGACCGGAATGCTTGGCCTTGTCTACTGGAAATCCGGTAAGATTCCGGAGCACTCGGACACAGCCATCAAGGTTTCCACCTCTGGCGGAACCGTGATTGGCCAGCTGGTGTTTGGGTGGCTGGCCGATGTGGTTGGCCGGAAAAAGATGTACGGGCTCGAACTCTTGATCATTATCGTCGCTACCCTAGCCCAATCGCTCACCTCCGAGTCCTATTCCATGCATCTGGTCGGATTGCTGGTCTTCTGGAGAGTGATTATGGGAATTGGCATCGGAGGAGATTACCCCCTATCATCTATCATAACTTCCGAGTAGGTTTTGTCGCCTTCCTTCGCGCCGTGAATCAGGGCTCTGGGCTGACAATGCGGGGGGCCGTAGGTTCGCAACCACAAAATGGCGCGGCGCCATGATGGGCGCTGTGTTCGCGATGCAAGGGATCGGCCAACTGGCTGCTGCACTGGTGGCCCTGATCGTCACGGTAGCCTTCAAGTCCCAAACCCACCCCGCAGCCAAACCCAGCGCGTGCGATGATGCCTGCCGCACTGCTGTGGACAGGATGTGGAGGATCGTCATCGGATTCGGCGCGGTTCCCGCTTGCATTGCCCTCTACTACCGTCTCACCATCCCTGAAACCCCCAGATACACTTTCGACGTCGCTCGGGACGTCGAGAAGGGTCGCGCGGACGCGAGTGCCTACCTCGCCGGCCAGGCATCCGGGCAGGTTGACGAGATCCAGCGTATCGAGACTATACGGCAGTCGGCCGACCTCCAAGTGCCCAAGGCTTCATGGAAGGACTTCTGGGGCGTCTTCCTTCAGTGGAGATACGGCAAGATATTGCTCGGAACCGCTGGATCATGGTTTTTACTCGATGTGGCCTTCTATGGTCTGGGTCTCAATAACTCCATCATCCTCGCTGAGATTGGGTACGCTGCGAAGGATAATGTCTACGACCGGCTCTACAATAACGCCGTCGGAAATCTGATCCTCATTTGCGCCGGTGCGATCCCGGGATACTGGGTAACGGTATTCACGGTGGACATTATCGGCCGCAAGCCTATCCAGATGATGGGCTTCGTCCTGCTGACAGCGCTCTTCGTCATCATCGGGTTCGCATTCCACCGCTTATCCTCCAACGCCCTATTGGGACTCTACATCCTATGCCAATTCTTCTTCAACTTTGGCCCCAACGCCACCACCTTCTTGGTGCCGGGCGAGTGTTTCCCCACAAGATACAGATCCACATCCCACGGAATCTCCGCCGCGAGCGGTAAGGTCGGTGCAATCATCGCGCAGGTCCTCATCGGTCCGCTCAGGACCAGGGGCGCCACGGCGACCAATGCCTCGCCGTGGCTGAATCACGTGATGCAAATCTTCGCTGCGTTCATGTTCGCTGGGATCTTCACTACCCTGTTGATTCCTGAGACTGTGAGTCTTTTCTTTTCTTTTGTTCTGTTTCTCCTCTTTTTCCGTTATCAATGTTATGTGTGGGGGAAGGAGAAGGCTAACCCCTGGAACAGAAGCGTAGAACCCTGGAAGATCTCTGCGCCGAACTGTACGGGGAGGGTATCGCCCAGGAGGAGAAGGCTCTACAAGCTACTACCGTCGGCACAGGAGAAGCCGTTGCTCCTGGAGAGGTGGGTTACGGGAAGAAGGATGTGGAGGGGTCATGAGTGGGGGGGGGACTTCCTGCTTTATCTTTACTTTTGATCTTCTTATATGGTGTCTGTTGCGCTCGTGCTTGGGATCGGGCCGGATAGTCTACTGTAGTTTTGCGATAATCACCTGGCGGTTCTACCCTTCGTTACATAGACAATACCATCATTACCAGAACATATAATGGTCGGGCACGACACCTTTACCAGAGACACATGGAAATAAATACGGCTTTGCCTTCCCTCGGGAACCGCACCCGGAAGTTGGGAGTTCTCAAACGGGTAGTGTAGCCCACAGTACCATACCGGTACTGTACTATAGCACCGGTACGTAGCACCGTCCCCGACAGAGAATGCCCACCCACCGCCCGAGAATAGGATACACACATCCCCACCTAAGCTACGCATTTCCCACAGCACCTGCAATTACCACCTGACCACTTCTCCCAAGTCGCACACCGCATTCGCACACCCCGCCGATCGTCCCACTTCCCCCCGAATCCCGTCCGTATTCGTGTTCGTACGCGCATTCGTTGGGGGACAGTATGTACTGTACTGCTGGGGCTGCAAGCCGTAACGATAGACTACCGGAGGTGCAATTGCTATGGGTGCTGGGAGTTATGATGTCATACTATGATAGTCTACGTCTACGAGTATGATAGAAGCACTCGCTTACCATATCTGGAATTGGTCCGTGGGTCATGTGGCATCACTCGCATCCGGGTTTTCCCTGCGCTGGGGTTTCGAAGCCGAAGGCAGACTGCTCACACCCCCGTTGCCGGATGGCCAAACCGTACGGATCTGTCCGGGGCAACAGGTTAGGCTTTGGTGGAAATCTATCGTCATGATGGATCCGTCCGGAGCGAGGTCCCGGAAACCGGTAGCGAGAGCGACAAATGCCCGGCTGCCTCAGAGGGCACGGGGGGAAACAAAAAATAGGCAGAGTAATTCCGTCGGCGACTCCTACCTACCGTTAGATACGATTCCAAGATATGCATCGCTCGAGTCCGGAGGGATCGGTCCGGATAGTCCTGCGAGAAGGCTAGGGAGTGGATGCCGGGATTCATCCTCTGGACGTATGTGCTTCAAGTACGAGAAGCAGAGGTAGCTGCATGCGCGAGAGGAACGAGTGATAAGTGATGGGGCGTAGTGCAGTACTGCGCCCTTCCATGTCCCTGCCGGTTTCCTCGTAAAAAGTGGGTTGTGATCATGTATTATCACTCGTTGTAGGTGTCAGTGTTAGGCTTCGTTTTGTTGGGCCAGTTATTGAGTGCATGGGGAACAGGAGATGTGATGGTGCGTGTTGAGTGCTGATGGGTGATGGTCCTTGGGGTGGAGTGCACCAGTGGAGATGAGGGTTTGGATGCATGAAGGGCATGAGATTGGAGTGAGCAGTCGCAAGTTGTTCTGTGGCTTGCATGTAGCTTGGAGGTTCGCTCTGGAGAACAGTTACGGAGTTCCTTTCTCCTCCACCGTCACTGTCTGTTTGGTTTATCCACCCCTCCCACCTCACAACACCAGTGGGGGTTTCCCAGTCGGTGGACTTGATTTTCTTTGGGGGGGGGGGCTTTGGGTGGGCGGGTCCGGTGCCCCTACCTACGTGGGAGATGTACTGGGGGTAATGATAACGAATGTGTGGATTAGCGATGGGAATTACAAGTATTAGCAGTAGCCTTCAGTATTTATATCACTAGCCCCTCGAAAAAACTCTGACAGCAAATTACTCCTTTGACAATGCCATGTTAATTCCTGCAAATACCTTGTTGATTGTTAGCCCGATATCCCCAGGTTTTGCTCAGCCCCCGCTCAGGGGACCACCAAAGACCAAGCATCAGTCTGAACTGATTGAGCAGGCTAATGTATCTCTGGGTATCGAAGAGTGAATGCGTTATGTAGGAATAGAGTCAAAGTCCGCACAGGGTGCTGAGACCTTCGCTCTTGTCCCATTCACACTATCCTGAGGCAATGCGGCGCCCGGTTGTCATGTTAGTACTAAGCAGATGATGAGACTCGACTCGAGAGGTGAAATTTGCAATAAGTATGAAGGTGAGGGGGATACAGGGGACAAATGCACCGGGGGGGGGGGGTATTTTAAGATTTGAGCTACAGTTTCTATATCCTCGGCTGGTGGGCTGATAAGGGGCCGCCATGAGTCCAGAGAGTGCAATACCCCCC